AAAATGACTCCTCAACATCAAACTGGAGGACCTGCTCTGCCTTTCTTAGCTTCTTTGTATGCAGCTAAATTGAAGACACAATGTTGTGGCAAAGTTGTAACTTGTTTAGGTGGAACAAATGGAGTAGCAGCACTTCTCTGAACCTTTGCTGATCTAGCCTTGCTGCCTGGAGCATGCTTATCATATTTCAGCGAGCTTGGTTGTGATACAGGCAATGAGCTTGGTTGTGAATTTGTCTCCCTAATTTGAATGCTTGTAGGTCGTCTGCACTCATGCACTTGTAGGTCTTGAGCTACAGCCTTTCCCTTGCTCAGCCTTGCAACTTCTTCAACCTATTACATGTACACATTAAAACTTATGGACTACATGGGTATAATATGACATGTGAGAATGTAGTAAACATTTGAAATTACTTATGTTCAGCACATTACCTTTGATTTCTTTGAAGTTTCTGCCTCATAGGCTTCTTTCTGTAGTTTCCTTTTCCTAGACCTTTCTCTGACAATATGTGCATTTCCATGATGCTTAGTTGCAGCAGCATTATTTGTGCAACTTTTCATGTTATGGCCTGTCCTATTGCATGAACTGCAAGTGATTTGGCCACCCACCTTGCTCATTTTTATCCCTTTTGGTGCTTCTCCTTCTTCTCTTTTCCTTTCTTTCCTTGGCCTTGCTGGCATTTTGATGTAACCAGGTGCTTGTGGCCTCACATGATCAGCAACCGGCCAATTTGACTGACCTTCCAATGGCTCCAACACATGAGAGTATATTTTCTTGTAAGCCTCAATGGAATAACACTCAGCTATGTATGCATCCAACAGTTGTGAGCTCTTGTAGATGCAGCTTATTGCATGGCAGCAGGGTAGACCAGAAAGCTGCCAATATCTACAAGAACAAACCCTAGTTTGCAAATTAACAGTGTACTTGTATTTATCATGCTCTAACACCTCAAACCCATCTCTTCCATTCCAGATCACATGACAATTTCCAAATCTTGTTATATTCTGCTTCAGTTTTTTAAATATGTTTGGACATATGATTCCTGGCCATTTCAAACACTTGGTAATGCATTCTTGTATCCTCACCATAATTTTGCATCTTATCCACTCCAGCATAGATATAATAGGTAGATATCTTGATTCCATGATCCAGTTATTGAATGACTCACACATATTACTGTCAACTGAATCACAGTAGCTTCCCAGCTTCATGTAAGCCCTACTCCAGTGAATTGGGTCTGTATTCATCATGTCCTTTGCTCCTTCAACTGTGAATTGAGCCAACCGTGCTCTATTATAGTTGAACAGAGACCTATTATGCTCTGACTTTGTCATGTTCATCTTTGCTGAACAACAAATGCCTGTGAGTTTTAATTCCATAGGAAATCACTGCTTTCTTCATGTGCTCTCTGCTTCTAAAAACCATGCCAAGCTGAAAGTTGGGTTTTTCAGCTTTGTTATTAAATCTAGGCCATTTGCTCTTCCTTCTAACCATAGTGGTACCTCCTTCTTCATCACTTTCTTCATCATAAGAGAAGTTATCCTCATTAGAGTCAAAATATGGAGTTTCAAAACCAGCATCCAAATCATCATCAGATTTACATTGTACTTTATTGTCTTGCATTATAATTCCACTTCTCCGCCCAAGCTTCTTAGCTCTCTCATTCCTCCTAATCTCTCTTGCAAGCTTTCCCAGTTCCTCTGCCTCCGAGTCCTCTCCAGAACTACAATCAGGTATTGGCACATATTCACTGTCCTCTTCATCGGATTTGTCAACAGGAGGTGCTTCTGCTGCTGGAACATGTACAGTTGATATATCATTATCTGCACCAACTATTGCAGCAACTTCTTTCTCTGTTTCAGTAGCTCTTACATCAAACTGTCGCACTATTTCAGATGTAGTTGCAACAGATTGTGCTACTATTTCAGTTCCATTTGCAGCAACCGCCCTTCTTGTTACTTCCATCTTAGGAGGTACAACAACTTCAGTTGCACCAAAGTGTGCCTCCAACTCAGTTGGACCTGCCGCAACTTCTCTCTCTGTTTCATGAGCAGATGATGCACTAACTTGAGCTTTTTCAGCAGCACTTACCATCTCATCAACCATTTTTGTGTCAACAACTTTCACACTAATAAGTGGTAATTTTGTCCCTTTGTGCCTAGAGTAAGTTTCTCTTACATTTACTGACAACAAACCTGCATTTATGTCAAATTGCTCATCACCTACACATATGTCAAACTGCTCATCACTACCAGATAGCATGGTTTGGTCTTGGTGCATTTCTTTATCATGGAGAAAGTGCTCCTGCTGAATTGGCATGTTCATTTCTTCAACAAAAACATCAGCATAATCACCATCTTTTATTCCAATGTCCATCCTCTTCACCGAATCATCATCCGACAGGAACATAAGACCATCACTAAATTTTTTTCCTGGAAGTAACCAATGTAATTTGTAGCTGTAAGTACCTCTGTAGTGACCTCTTTCCACTTGATGAATATCTTCTGCATAGTTACATAATTCTTTATAGGACAAAATATCCCTTGGAATGAACATCTCTGCCACCAATTCCCCAATGTAATCCAACTTTCCATCCACTTGCTGAAATGATCCATAGTAATGAAACCTGACAAAGAAGTTGTCCAATGGATCGGGACCAAGAGAACCTACAAATTCAGACAGGAAGAATTGAGATTCAGAAAACAAATAAAGTTGAATCTTTAGCTCTGACCATACAAAATTCAGGAAAGAATGTATAGGAAAAAGTAACATTCAGTCAAGCATGCCAGATCATTTACTCTGCATTGAAAGTATGTACCGTGCAACTTCAGTTCATTCAGGCAAAATATGTCCACTTTTGTCCTAAACCAAACAGGAAAATCATCTACAATAAATTCAGAAAAATATGTGCACTGAAAGTTCATTCAGCCTCATTTACTCTATAGGAGAAAGTGCCAGTTTTCCTACACCAAATTATCTTGAAAGGTCGCTCCTTTTCCTACCAATTCTCCTTGCATTCAAAGTTCAGTCAGCCCCACTTTTTTCTGAACTATCATAGGAACAGGGCTACCACCCACAACAAATTCTCCCATTTACTCTGTAGGAGAAACAGGGAATAAGATAGAGAGAGAGAGATATGGCCATCGGTTCACAGAGATATGGCCACTTTTTTCTGAACTAACAGGGCATAAGATAGGAGGAACACAGTTGACAAAACAGGGCATCATCCAAAAAGCCACATCTACCCCTAAAATCGTAGCACTAAAGCGCTTAATTCCCGTCATATGAACCCATGCCTCTACAGCACACGCGATTCCGCATGCGCTCGCGATTCCGTCGGCGAACGACACCTGAACCCAAACAGAGGAGCGACCGAGATGGAGGGAGACGCACCTGGACACATGGCTTGGTTCCGCCCGCTATGGATGAGCGACAGATGAGGGAGGTGACGGCGGACGGCGCATGCGATTGCCAAGCCCTAGCGATTGAAAGAGGGGAGGCGATTCTTCTAGAGGTGGAGCGCTCTGATGAAGAAAAAAGGAAGGAGACGATAGAAAAAGGAAGAAACGAGACAACCATCTGACTAATGGGACCCACACTGGCCTACTCAGCGTTCTTTGCCCAGTCAGCGCCTAATCAGAATCATGGGGGGACAAAAACTGTTCCAAATTACATATAAACCGCTCAAGAGGGTTATTAACCCGGTTTGAGTAATTTCAGGGTGTTATTTGTCCCGGTTTTGAGTTCAGGGGGGTATGTATCCCAAAGAGTGGATTTGAGGGTGATTTGTATACTTCTTTCAAAATAATAATTTATGCAGACGATTCCGATCCATCCTATGCACAGGAAAAGAGATCCCTAGCCAAGTACTACCTTCATCCCGGTTTATTAGTCCCCTTGTAATCCTCAAAATAAAAATAAAAAATTAGCCCCCCCTTTTTTTAGTGTCATATTTTGACCATGATTTTTACTAATAAAATATAAGTTATGTATAGTAAAAATAATATTATCGAAATATGTTTAAATACGAATTGAACGATATTTTTTTTGACATGTATTAACATTTTATTAGTAAATCTATGGTCATAGTTTGACATAAAATATGAAGGGGACCAATAAATCAGGACGGAGGTACTACTACAGGAAGGCAAAGAGGAAGTAACAGGTAGACATGAAGTTCCTCACAAGGCTGCAAAGGCAGCAGCATAACAGAGCGGGGATCAATTAGCTTAATCAACATACATCAGATGGAGATACTTTTTTTTATGAAAATGCTCCAACCTACTCCCTTCGTTCGGAATTACTTGTCGAAGAAATGGATGTATCTAGATGTATTTTAGTTCTAGATACATCTATTTCCGAGATAAGTAATTCCGAACGGAGGGAGTATGTACTACTCTCTCCGTCTCAAAAAAGTGTCTCAAATTTAGTATACAACTTTGTACTAAAGTTAGTATAAAGTTGAGACATTTATTTTGGGACGGAGGGAGTATGTACTCAACGTAAAATAGGTTTAACATTTCTCGTATACATTAGTAATATATTTATACACAGTTAACATGCACATTGTACATTTTTAGTATGCATAATTTTCTCAAAGGCATTTTTCATTGATGAGTTCATTTTAGTGCTGTGTGATCTCGAGTTGTTGACTACAATTAGCTAGCTAGCAGTCCTAGCACCAAGAATTGCATAGGAATTAGTGTTGCCATAGCGGACAAACAAGTAGGAGCACATACATGATAGAAACGTAGAAACGTACTACGACGATGACGATTTGGAGAAACAAGTAATCAGCAGAAACATCATATCATATCATACACAACCAGCACACGCAGTCGGAACAAACTAAACAGGCACACAACACGAGATCGATATACTTGCATTGTAGTAGGAAGCAGCTAATAAGGTGGGTTCCGTGATGAAGAGGCCACGGCCCATCACGCGTGCTTGCACTTGAGGTTCTTCATGCAGGGGAGGTTCATCTCGGCGATCTTGACCTTCTTGTCGGCGCGACTGCAGTGGTGGCCAGGCGCGCACTCGATCAGCGCCTCCCGCTCCACCTCGCAGTAGCACGCCGGGTTGGCCACCACCCCGAAGCAGCACTTCTCGCAGTGGCCGAGGCGGAGGCAGTTCTTGAAGTACATGGCCTGCGTCTTGCAGGGCTCGGGCTCCGGCCGGTACTCCGCATACGTCGCCGCCGGCGTCGCGGCGAGCGCAGCACACGCGAGCACGACGGCCAGCGCGGCGGCGGCGAGCTTCACGGACGCCATGGGAGGATGGATGGATGGATGCAGATGGAGCTTAGCTAGTGGTGGAAGTTGAGTACACCCGACAGGGGTCAGCGCGGATCGATGGATGGGCTCAGCACACGGCGTCTTGGCGAATTTTATAGGCGATCGATGGCACCTAGCACTAGCAGCGGCGGGGTAACGTGCAGCGGAAATGCGGAAACCGCGATCGAGATACTAGCGCGCGTGGTACAGCGGACCATGTTACGACCTCTGTCCTCCTCTCCCATGTCTTGTTTTCTGCTTAATTAGTGGGGTTGTCGGGTCGAATCAGGCTTATGCATGTGACGATCCACTGGCGCATGTGATTGGTGGGCGCATGCTGGTGATCATGCATATCCTTGCATGTGCTTGCTAGCTAAGCTCACGCGAATTAAGGGAATATAATCTTAGTTAACTGGGGGTTTGGTGAAGCTCTCTGATCAACGGATCCGAGAAGAACAGCTAGCGTAGGAGGGTAGATACGCTACGTCCCCTCGGGGTCTGCGGGTGTAGGTTTATCTTAGCCGGTGCAAGTTCTACCGGGCCAGGCTCAACCGTGCTTTTTACTAACATGGTACAGCTGACACTCATACATACGCACATATACGTTCGTTCCTATGAACTCTTCGAGAAACTGAGCCATCACATCATTTTGAGATTAACGAAGTTGCTACAGACGTCTTCGTAATCGATATGAATGTCTTCTCCTACTGAACACACATCACCGATAAACCTGAAATTAATTCAAAAAAATGTGAGCACCAATCTCAAGTGTACGACTTGAACTCAGGTGGACCGAAGATACTACCATGCTCCTAACCATCTAATCATAGGTTGGTTCACCTCAATAATGTCTTCTATTAGGAGTACTACTATCTACCACCAATACTCTCTTCACTACACCATCCAATGGTACAACTTTGCCTTGTGTTTAGCGACACCGCACGACACGCCCTCTTCATCTTCACACTCCGTTCCGCACCAATCGCGGGGATCAGGATTTGATCATTTGCTCCATTTCACCTTGTAGTTTGATCATTTGCTCTGGTTTATCTCAATGGAAGGTGGGCCCAGATCAAAATGAGAAGCAAAACGGGGTAGGCGATTAAATCTTTCACCTAGTCGTGCCCGTCTCAGGAGACGCCTCACCGACTTCGCCTTTCGTGATGTCACACTTGCATCGCTCCAAGTGAGGCTTCCATTGCTACTACGTACCCCCGGTAGGGTTGCCCCTACTCGACATCCGCATCCCTAGGAAAATACATAGAAAAATGATGTCATTATTTGCTCAAATCGAAACAACTGTTAGCCAAGGACTCTACATGGTCCAACGAGTGCGGTTATGCAACCTTGGTCAAGCTCAACTGAATGTTCTGCACAGTGGACTAGGAGGAGCGGCACTCAACTGCTCACTTCGATGTCTCTCCATCGTCATCTCCACCCATTTCGACATTCTCCTGGACTACACTTTGTGACCCACTTGTTGGCGGCGATTTTAGTTTGAGAGGTTTTGGATCAAGAGGGGGCGTTTCATGGAGCGGGTTGAGGAGGGTTGGGCGCTCGCTGGTGATGAGGCCGACCTGCTAGCTCGTCCTTCAGTTCAAGAACATGGCCCGTCAGGTGATGAGTGGGAGGGGTTTGTCTAGGTCTCAGTCGACTGAGACTTGGCGAAGTCTCAGTCGCTGACGTGTCATGCATGTGGCTGCGACGATGTTTGCCTCTGCTTTCGCTAGTTCACGACTTCTCCATGTTGCTCTGGATCGGTAGTTGCTTTTTCTTTCTTGATGTAAGCCCTCATCAAGTCCGTCGCTCATGGGCTAGTAAAATCAGCCCGTTTTTTCTTTCTTTATTTGTTTGGCAAGACAATTTTACAACTTCTGGTTCATTTCCCTGCTTTCTTCATTTTTGATATTATTTCTTCTTACATTTAAAAAAATATTTTGTATTGTTAATAAAATGAAAAATAACAAATAAAAATAAAAATCATACCCGCACCAGTTGCATTCATGTTGTACCACTTGTTGTTGATGGTAGGTTGCGACACCTGTAGTTGCAACTCTAGTGATGGACATGCAGCTGGCCCCCTCACCCTCTAGTTGCAGTCACGTTGTATCCCTTATCGTTGCAGGTGGGTTGCGATATGTGTAGTTACAACTCTAGTGGTGGACATGCAACTGGCCTCTCTCCCTCTAGTTGCAGTCGTGTTGTACCCATTGCAATTGCAAGTGGGTTGCGACATGTGCGTTGCAACTCTAGTGGCGGACATGCAACTGACCGACATCCTCCCCCTCTAGTTGCAGTCGCGTTTTACCCCTTGCAGTTGCAGGCTGGTTGTGATGCGTGCAGCTGCAATTCTAGTGGTGGACGTGCAACTGGTCGACGTCTCGCCTCCAGTTGCAGGCGGGTTGCAACGCATGCAGTTGCAGCTCTTGTCGTGGACATGCACCTAGTCATCCACCAGCCCCTCCCCCTCCAGTTCCAAATCGTATTGTATCCCTTGCGGTTGCAGACGAGTTGCGACACGTGCAATTGCAACTCTAGTGATGCACATGCAACTGGTCAACATCCATCCCCTGCAGTTGCAGTCACGTTGTACCCCTTGCAGTTGCGTGCACGTTGCGACAAGTGCAATTGCAGCTCTAGTGATGGACATGCAACTAGACAAACGTCCCTCCCCCTCAAGTTACAATCACATTGTACTCCTTGTAGTTACACACGGATTGTGACACGTGTAATTATAGGTTGCGTTATAATACCACCATATATGTATATATATATATAAAGAAAAACAAGAACATATTATCAAAACTGATAAAATAAAAAATAAAAGAGGAAACAACATATAACTAAATAAATAAATGAGGAAAAGCATAAAATACATGAAGATAAGAAAAAATGGAAAATCAAACGTGTACAAACGAGTAAATGAAAAATGAAAAAACAACAGAAAAAATGGCAGACCAACAAACAAAAAAAAAAGCGACCGACAATGAAAAAGGCTCCAGCCTGTAGCTAGGCAGCCCACCACGCGAGCAAGCCTCACCCCCGACAGATAAAACAAAGCCGAAAGAAAGCAGCCCAATACAAAACGTCAGACGTTGGTTTTTCACGAAACAGCATACATCGTAAACTAGCAAAAGAAAATCTAATGGCTAGGCCGGTCGACTGAGACTTCATTAAAACTCAGTCGACTGAGTTTTAGCGCTTCCCATAATATATTGTTGTACTTTGCACTTGTTTTAGGTGAAAGATGCATGCCCAGTAAATTGTCTTTGTGATGAGCCTAAGGACTGGAGAACACAAACTACCTCCTTGGCTGATCTTGAAAATGTGGAAATGCAGGGCATGGACGGGGAAGATCATGAGTTTGATTTCTTGAAAGTGATATTTACATGTGCTCTGGTGCTTAAAAGAGTGACTCTGAAAATGGTAGATGGTGTCACTCCATGTTCCGATTGGTGCTCAAAAGTAAAAAACATCTTCATGGAGCATCCTTTTGTCGAGTGCAACATTGAACTGGTAAGCAGGTCTAATGCATGGTTAGTATACTCATAGAGGTAGAAATTATTTGTTCTTCTACAGTTTTAGAAGTCTGAACTCATCCTTTAGCCTTCTGCCTGTATTTTAATCGTCTAATTGTTATCTCTGTAATTTTCATGGTTTACAAATTTCTAGGGCTGTTGGGATGTGTCAATGGCATGCTAATTATCTGTTTAATGCTGACTTAGTTTTAGCTTGGTTATATACCCTCTTTTTGTTTCCTAAGAACTTACACTGTGATGGTCCACATGCTACATCAATGTTCTTCTATATTCATGCTTGCCTTTTTTTAGGTTTAGTTTCCATTTAAGATTCTTTGATTGGCGGGATTGTAAAAATGTAGAAATATGAAAAACATATGATTTGAATGTCATGTCCATTCGAACCCTACGAGATTTGAGATCGTTTGATTGCATCATAGGAAAAACAAAGTATTTTTTTAAGAGGTTAGAGTGGTTGTGAGATTTCCTATGGAATATAGTATAGATGATTCCATAGGAAAAATTCCTATAGGATTCAATCCTACGAATCTTACGGCCAGCGTAAGAAAAAATCATAAGGACCCTTATCCTCCAAAATACCATGAAAATCCTTTGAAACGAAGACCTAATGGTGGCCGAGAGGACTAAAAATTCTTTATTTTATATATAAGTCAGCCATGCCATGTACTTGGTTTCACATGGTATACATGTCAGATGCTATATTGTTTTTCATGCTATACTAGTTTTCTAGTCTACTGAAGTATGCTTGTGTATGCTCTCTAGTAATTGGCTGAATATGCTATATTTCTTTGTGCATACATCCTCAGATTCTATTTGTGAACTCTTTAGTCTATGCCAAGTTTCTTAGCTTAGTCACACCATGTTGCTCTACGCATTTTTCTCTGTTCTAACAAGGGCAGACTTCATATTACCATATGACTAAAACTGTTTTTGTTTTACCTCCTCTGCATATGCAGGGTCTACATACGGGTACGGCAACCAAAGTTGTGGGTTGACATCATTCTCATGCTTATGTTTGCGGAGTCAGGATGCTCTAATAAGACAATCTCTCCCACCTGTTTCAGGATTTTGCTTCGTGGCTTCAGTCCATACTACGTTCTGTTATTTTTCGCCGTGGGCCTACAGGCTCGAAGTGGTGCACTCATACAATTCCTAGCATGGTTGCTCTGCTCTTTAAATATTGTATTACTCCTTTTGGTTGGCTGCCATGGAAATTGCCAAGATTAGTAACGTACTCAACCTATGCTGTATGCATGGTCGCGATTGTATGGACGTGTTTGGTTGCTCGCACTGTTTTTGGTCTTGATGATACGAGTTTCGGGTCATGTTCTGCAAGTTATTTGGTTGCCTAAATTGCCTCTTCTTGCATGAGAGCCAAAACACAAGCACATCCTTTGGTTGCATCTATGTGCTCCCCAAATGTAACGTTCGGGTGTTTGATTACGTGTGTGTTGATGG